CGCTCTTTCCCAAGATTCTGCCTTTAAAAGGAAACATTTTCCAGTGCATCAAGCAAAGAGTGAAATGATCTTTTCATTTCGTCCCTAAGTAGACAAACTCACTTAGAGTTATCGTAACAGATATCGTCATGGCATCTGAGCTGCTTGTTTTTGTTTAAAAACATCTGGCTATACTTTTGTTAGTCTTCCATGCTAAATAGCAATTAAATAAACGAGATATGTATCACATCTCTTTTCCTTACTGTGATCAAAACAAAGCAAACTAGGAACTCTCAGAACACTGGCTTAAGTTGTTTCTTTGCTCTTTTAATCTTTAATAGTATGAATAGTCCTGCCTATTTACATACTATATTTTATAGAGTTTAGTCATTATAAAACATAGAAAGATAAGGAATTATGTTTAGATGAGTATTAGACTGGGTAGTTAATGTTTTTCAAAAACTGATCTTTTTATTCAAACGTGGAAAAAACATGAAAATAAAATAAGAAAACCAAGATGAGGATGTTTTAGTTCAAAACCGGCAGTCTATACACAGTCCTGTATACAAAGGGATTTCAACAAGTTCATAGAAAAATAGAATTTAAGTACAAGTTTATTTTGGTGTAAAAAAATTGAAGTCTATGCATAGTTTTTTGGTAGTATGTACTTTCTATGAACTTCTTTAAGACCCCTCATATATTTCATTGTTTAATAAATTATGTTTTTGGACAGATTTTAGCAAAAAGTATGTTGGTATATGTATATTGGAGGAAAAAAATGTTTCCTAAGCATTGTTTATTTATCAAAAATCTTAAAAGTACCAAAAAAAAAAAAAAAGATCTCATTTAAAAATTTTTAAATGAAAACAGTGATCCCTAAGAAGTTTTTAGCTGTTTTCTTAAACTGAATAATGTAATATGTTTGGAAAAATAAAAAGATTTTTTTATTAATTTTTTTTCTGACAGGGATTGGGTATTTCCTGAAAATAACAGCTGTAATAAAGTATTTACGGAAATGAGTTCTTTTCAACAGCTGGCTTGGACTTCTCAACTTTCTTTTGCACACTAATATTTTTCATTGCTTAAAGCTGGTTAAACTATTATCTTTGGGGATTCAGAGCCAGTACATCCCATGGGGAAAGCACTCAGCATGGAGCTGTGTGATGAAGGGCATTTGTACAAGGCTGTGCTCTGAACCCCAGTGACTCGATGAACTGAGTGTATAACAAACCACTCAAGGGACAAACTTAGAGCCTTGCACTCATTAGTAACTTCACTCTCCTGAGGACCTGCACCAGGGTGAAAGGTACAGTAGCTATTAATACTTATTTTACTTAGGACTTCCCAGTGGCTTATGCTCTGAGATACTCCCTGTCCCACATCCCATGTCTCTGTGAGCAGAAGCAACACTTGGCTCATGTCTTCTATTCAGATTATAAGCTTAAAAATATTTATATATTTAGAGATTTTTGCTATAGGGCACTTGTGCTTGCCAGAGAGACAGAGAGAGACAGAAACAGAAAGTGAGAAATCACTCCCTGGGGGGATGGCCATGCTGCAGTCCCTTCTCCTCCATTCTCCTCTCAGGATTTTGAGCATGCATGTGCATGTGCCAGCATGAGTTTTAAGCTACAGGGTCCTGGACTCGAACCACAGTCGACTACATGGGAGTCCAGCAATGTAACATAACCATTACATGGAACCAGCAGTTAGCGTAATGGCTATGTCGCTAGACTCCCACGTAGTTGACCGCAGTTCGCGTCCCGAACCCGGTGGCTTAAAACTCACGCCAGGCGCGTGTGCGTGCATGCCCAAGATCCTGAGAGGAGAATGGAGGAGAAGGGATTGCGACGTGACCATCCACTCTGGGGGGGTGATTTCTCGCTTTCTGTCTCTCTGTCTCTCTCTCTCTGTCTGGCGAGCGCACGTGCCCTATAGCAAAAAAAAAACTCTCCAAAAAAAAAAAAAACATAACCATTACACCATCTGCTGGTCTCTTAAAATTATTTTAAAAATAAACATTCCTTGTAAAAAGTGTTTCTGAGATATTTACATAGAAAAGGACGTATGTGATTTCTTTTTATTTCCTACCTATTTGCCAAGAGGGTCTATGTACATTTTAGGGTAAAGGCCACAGAGCCTAGTAGAAGAACATAACACGTTTGAATGGGCACATGCCCGGAGGGTGGGAAATAGCAGTCATTTTCCCCGTGACTGCGTAGAGTAGATTTGGCTGTCTGGGTTCAAATGTTAGCTGTTACTAACTGGCTCTATGACCTTATACAAATGTCTTAACTTGCAGTCAACTAGGGTCATGGGCATACCCTAGGTCAACCCAAGATCTAAACTCCAGGCTTTCCTATATGGCTTGGGATTGCTAAGCAGTGCCCTACCACCTGCATCCCAACAACTGGGCCTGTCTCCCTTTTCTTTTCATTTTTTCCTTTTAAAATAATTATTAATTTAATTTAGTTTGTTTATTTATTCTTCTATTTTTACCAGAGAGAGAGAGAAAGGGAGAATGAGAAAGCAAGTCATCAGGTCTAGGACTCAAACCACGGTCAACCACATGAGAGTCCAGAGCCCCAACCACCATGCCATCTGCCAGCCCCTCCATTTTCTGATATAAAAATGGGACCATAGTGTCCACCTCTAGGTTTATTATAAGGATTAAATGATATAAAACAAGCGAAGCACTAGGAATAGTACCTGAAACAAAAGAAGCACGCGTTAAGTGTCATTATAATTTTTTAAAAAACTGTATTTATTTCCATAAAAGAGAGAAAGAGACAAAGATACAAACATTCCCAACAAGGTCCTCATGCCACAGTTCACCCCCAGTCTCATCCGGCCTGGATCATGGGCCTGTGTGCATGCGCCCAATGTGCTCAGAGAGATCCTAGGACACAAACGCAGAACCTTTCTGATGGGTCCAGTTACATTACTATTGTGCAACTTCTGGACCCCAAATGTTATTATTAATAAATAAAAAACATGTATAGCTCCTGATTCCATTCCTTTTTCAACATAGAGGGATCGTCCACATATTTGATTTTAGAGTATACTACCCATTATCCATGACCCTTGCAATGGTTTGTTATTGCTTTGTTAACACTTAACAGGGGCTGAAGGACAATAAAAGGACAGTAACATTTCTGCTCTACCAAGGAGTTTGTATTTTCTTGGGAATCAAGAGCTATATATTTGACATATGAAGTTAGGGGTGTCTATCAAACATTCAGAAAGTGCTATTAAGTAAAATGCTGGACACATGAACATGAAGCTCAGAGAAGTGCTAAGGTAGGGTTACAGATGTATCTTTTTTTTTTTTTGAAAAAGGTTTTTGTTACAGGGTGCAGTCGTCAGACAGTCAGAGACAGAAAGCTAGAAATCACCCCCCAGGGGGGATGGCCACACCACAATCCCTTCTCCTCCATTTTCCTCTCGGGATCTTGGGAATGCACACACACATGCCCGGCGAGACTTTAAGCCACAGGGTCTGGGACATGTACCGCGGTCAACTACATGGGAGTCCAGCGACATAGCCATTACACTAACTGCTGGTCCTGAGATGTATACTGTAAAATATATTATTTTAAATAATTATTTATTTTATTTAACTTCATTTATTTACTTTTTTTTTTTTTTTTAATTTTGACCAGAGAGGGACAGAATAAAATAGAGAGTGAGAAAGCAAGTCACCAGGTCTGGGACTCAAACCGTGGTCAATCACATGGAAGTCCAGTGTTCTTAACAACCATGCCACTTGCCGGCCTCTAGAGATGTATCTTTGTTAGTCATCAGCACATAGATGGCATTCAGATCCATGGGGTAGTGTGCAATTCATAAGGTAGTAGATGCACACAGAGAGGAGAGCCAGGTACTGAGCAGGGGGCATACAATAATGACAGGGTAAGAAAATTAGATGCCAGCTGTGGAGCATGAGAAGGAACAGCCATTAAGTACCAAGAAAACCAGGGAAGTGCGCTATCATAGAACAGAAAGTTCTTCAATGAGGAGGGAATGGGTCAGTTCAGACTCAACTGCACATAGGAAGCTGGATCCCACATGGCTGACTGTGGTTTGAATTCTAGCCCTGATGGCTTGAAAAACACACCGGGAGTGTGTGTGTGTGTGTGTGTGTGTGCGTGTGCACATGCACATGTGTGTGCGCGGGCACATGCACATGTGTGTGCAAATCCTAATGACATGGAGGAAATCCTAATGGTATGGAAAAATGAAGGAAAAAGAATTACGGTCTGACCACGCACCACTGAGGGGTGCTTTCTTTCTCTCTCTCTCTCTCTGGTGAGCACCCTCTGGCAAATAAAAATAAGAAAGAACAAGAAGGAGGAGGAGGAAGAGAGAAGAAGGAAGAAAAGGGATATAGGCAACTGTGTTAACTGCTTAAGAGAAACCAAGCAAAATGAGACCAGGAAATTAATCCCTGGATTTGGTTACGTTGGTGGGTGGGAGTCACTTGCAACCTGGTGAGAACAGTTCCAACGGAGTGAAAGCAACAAAAACCTGGCTTTTTGGAGTGGCTAAAAATTAACCAATAAGTCAATCGATAAATAACATGAATAGGTACTAGACTCTCTATGAATATAGGTTTGCTTATAAAAACTTGCTTTTAACGTATTTTATGGTGAACTGATATAGCACTCTGAGAAAAACAGGTTTGAGTCAAGCTAGAAATGTTACTTGTGCTCCTCACCTAGAAAGTTTTGTGAAAGAGGTGAGATTTGAAGATAGTCTAAGAGATG